CCGTCCATCCGGACAGGCGCCCCGCCTCGGCCGCCGATAACCAGCCTCGAGGTCCGCATGGAAACTCGGGCCTGCGAGATTAGCCACGGCTCAGCCCAGATAACTAGCCCTGGCCCTCAACCGAGCCACGTGGAGGCTCCCAAGCCCGCAGAGTGGCTGGAGGGACTGGGCCCTGAGCACAGCCTCGCCCCAGCCCAAGGCCCAGCCCCACACCCTACCCTCGCAAGCAGCTGACCCAGCCCTCAAAGTCCTCAGTGTCCTTTTCCAGCCAAGACAGTGACGCTGCAGTGGGGCAGGGCTGAGTGGGGAGCATTTGCCTAGCGTATGCCAGGCCCTAGGTTCGACCCCTGGCACCACAAAGAAAAACGGTCAAGGCCCTGACTCATGGTTCGAGGCGCTGAGCCCCAGCCCTTCCAGCCACAGCACTGAAACCCCAGGCCCTTTGCTCGTGCCAGAGCCTCCCCTGGGTGTCTCCACTCCTGCTTGCCTCTCGGGGCTCAGCTTCCTAGACCTGGGATTGCCCCCATCAGAGAGTTCCCCGTTCCTCTGGCACCCCCGATCCTGAGGCGGGGTGACCCTCTGCTGAGCACAGGGCCCCAACAGAGGCCGGGGCTGAGTGGGGACAGGAAGAGGACTGCTGGAGGTCGGCTCTCACGGCGTCACAGTGACACCAGGAAGGAGTTCCAGGCCCAGGGTGCTCAGTGGAGGAACAGCTCATCCCTGTCCACTCAGCCTGGGAATCCTGGGGCCCGCCTGTCCCTGAGCCAGGTGCTGACCCTTCCCAAGCACCCGGGAGGGCCACCGCAGGGACGAGGTGTCTGTGGCCTGCAGGTGGTGCCTGAGGCCCTGCGCCTGACCACCGCCGTCTGTGAGGCCATTTTCCATGGCTGGCTCTGGATGGAGAACGTGTCCTGGAGGCCACACAGGGGACGTCCCACTGGACACCTTCCCAGGCCTGCCGGGTGCCTAGGAGGTGGTCCCGATGCTCTCTCATCACCAGAGGAGTCTGGGATGGCATCTCTGGCCTCCTGGGGTGGCTGGCAGGGTGGCCCTGGGTCAGCAAGAGCACCACAGTGCCATGCTGGGGGTGGTACATGACCCCGACCAGCCTGTCCTGCTGCCCCCAGGCCTGCCCACCCTTCAGGGCTACGTTTGTCCCCTGAATTTGTTCTGAAACCAATACAGGTGATGAGGGGACCATGGGTGGCCCCAGGGACACCCTTCGCCATGGACCCTCATCCTACACCCACCTCCCCTCAGGCCACTGGAGCTACAGGGCCGGTGGGAACACCATGGCCTCTCCCTGCACCTCGGTGCCCCCAGGACAGCATGTGCAATGACAGTCCTGGTTCTACCCGGCCCCAGGCCACCCTCCCACCTGGTGTCTGGATAGACAGCTAGGGGGGACCTGGACCAGCCCGTGCTCCGTGTCCCAGTCCCTGGTCCCTCCAGTTCTGTGCAGCCTTGTGTGGGTGGGGGGTGGCCTCAGCTCCTTCCTCACCTTCTGATCGTGCCCCCGGACGGACACTGCTGGGACCTGAGGACAGCCCAGGACCCCGAGTGGGACTGGACCCTCCACATCCTGCTGGCTGGCGTCTGCCCGGCCACTGCCTTCTGACTTGAAGCAGGGGTGGAAGGAACAGGACACAGGTACCAAGGCTCGGCACGTGGCCCTGCATTGGTGATCCCGGCGCCTCCCGTGGCAGGGCCTGCGCCTGCGCTACACCCCACCAGGAGGATGTAGGTTGTGGCCCCTTCATTTGCATATCAGAATGCTAAGCAGCCAGCCTGCGGCGCAAGGTCATTTCAAAGATAAACTCAGGCTCTCCCTGCCTGCACATCCCTCTCCCAACCAGAATCTGGGCTGGGGCTCATGGAAGACGTGGCGCCTTGGCCTGCTCTGCCCTCCCCTAGGTGGCCACGGTCCTTCTGCCCCGACACCTGCTCCCCTCTGCAGGGTCAGGCTGGAGTCAGCAGAGCCCCGGACCCGACCCTCCGGCCCCAGAGCAGCCTCTCCTCGGCCCCTTGTTTCCCTCCACGTCCACGGTGCCTTTGGCAGCGCCTGTCCAGCCCAGGAGGCACTGAGGCCATTCCTCGGAGTGTCCGGAGCCGAGGCAGGGCTGGCTGCCTGCAGAAGCTGGGGACCCCGCGAGGGTTTTCTGCTGCAGCCCCACATCTAGGCAGGACGGCTGCTGTCCCTGTTCCCCAGAGGAGGGCGCGAGGCCACATGTGCCGCTGCCTCCTGGCTGGTCCTGCCTGAGAGCTGGGGTGCCAGGCACTCTAGGCTGCTGCGGGGCCTGTGACCTTACTGCCTGACCGCCCAGAAGAGCCAGGCTGCCCCAGGGCGGGGGTGACAGGCTGATGCCCCAGTTCTTCTGGCTGCGTCACAGAGGGGAGGTTGAGGCCCCAGGCCTGCACTCCTGCCTCTCCAATGTGAGGGCTCCTGCTCCAAGCAGTGACACTCAGTACAAAGCTGCCAGCAGCGAGCTCTGGAGAAGCAAAAAAACACTGCTGAGTGCCACCCTGGTCTTTTTGGTACCAGGGATCGAACTCGGGACCTTGTGCTTACAAGGCAGGCGGTGGCACCACTGAGCTAAATCCCTGGCCTCACCCTGGACTTTTTGGAGGGCTAGGGTCACTAGGTGGCAGGTAGGGTCCCCAGGTACTGCTGGGGGCTGCAGCAGGGCCAGAAGACAGTGGGGAGTCTGACGGCGGCCTCTCACGCGCCAGGTGCAGCACCCCAGTGTGTGTGAGGCCCTCCTGGGAGTCCAGGGCGGGGACAGGGCTGGGACACCTCCTTCCTACCCGTGCCTCTCAGGTACCTCTGTAGGCCCTCATGGCCACCTGTCCCAGGCCGGGCCACCAGGGAACTGCGGAAGCCACGAGCCTCTCTGAGATGGCCCTGGGGGTAGAGAGGCCTCAGGATGCTGTGGGCCTGGTCCAGCTGATGGCAGCCAGCACGGCCGGGGCACCTCGCAAGCCACCCTGGGAGGGATGGGAACTGAGGCCCAGTCCCCCCTGGGGCCAGCCTTCCTGCCCCCCAAAGAGAAGGCATGGCATCTCCCAGGCAGGGTCCCCAGGCCAGGTCTGCTGGGCGGCACTGTGTTCATCCCTCACTGGGGGCTGCAGGGGTCAAGAAGAGGGTGGGGAGTCCCAGAGACTGGGAGAGCACCGGACCAGGGGCAAAGATGGCCTGGCCGCCAGTGGGCACTGCCCAGGGGCCCCGAGCCTGCAGGCCCTATGAAGCCCTGACACCCATCACTGGCACAGTGGCCCTGGGAGATAACACGGCGGGGCTGCGGCTTCCCCTGGGATAAGCGAGGCTGTGGGGGGCCTGATAGGCAGTGGCTGCTGTGGCGGTTGGCCAGAGGCCGCCTATCGGCCCATCGCTGCCCACTGCACAGAAATTCCTATCTGCGGATGCTGACGGGAGTCGCTCAGTCATCAGATAGCGCAGGAAGTGGGGTGCCCCCACCCCAAACCACGGCCGCAGCTGCCACACAGTCAGGCCCAAGCCCAAGGGCTCTGTGTCCCTTCTGAGGAGGAGGCTGAGGACCAGGACCCAGATGGGGATGGACGGGGAGGTGAATGCTGATGCTCACACCCCAGGCGCTGTCCAGGGGGAGTCTGGACTGGTCCCTTGCTGCCAGCAGCCGGGTCTCCTCATCTGGAGTGCGGTCAGCACTGCACCGGCCTCGTGCGTCCGCCTGCCTGGTCCCACAGGCACACTCGGGCCTTGCCATGCCCGGCAGCCGTGTGGATGTGGGGACGGAGCCCGGGCGCTTGCTCTCCACAGCCGGGGTAGAAGCCCGGGCACCTGGCCATCCTGTGCTGCGTGAGGGAGGGGCCTGGCCTCTCCTAGCCTGTCACCCACAGGGCAGAGCCCCGGGCCCCTAGGCACTCCCTGGGGGTGGCGGCATCCTGTGGCCTCGCCCCTGCTTGTTCCCAGGCCTGGGGTGATGGTGTCCCGGAGTGCTGCGGTGCCGAGGCACAGGGTGGAGGCCCCGGTGCCGTCGTCCAGCTGCTCCATGCCCGGGGCCCCTGCTCGTGCAGCTTGGGGCCGTTGTCCTGGCTGCGGCCACTGCAGCTGCCCCTCCCTCTCCGGCTGTGCTGACCGTGGGCCACCCCCCCCTCCCGCAGAGCCACACGGCCTCAGACATCGCCGACTGCCCGCCCACCTGGTGCTCTACCCTGAACCGGACTCCCCAGTCTCCAGCAAGGCCAGGCCCTCCTTCCCCGCACACACGGACCTCACAGGACTCTGCCTCACACGCAGCAGGTGCTCAGTGTGTGCGTGTGTGCCGTGTGCACACGTGGGCCTGGCCCGCGTGCTCAGCCTCCGCCCCACCCCCCTTGCTTACGGACCCTGCCAGCTCCTCTGCACAGTGCCCGCCCACCCCGGCTCCTGGGCTGCTTATTTATTAATCAGGAAAAACAGCAACAACCCCACCCAGCTTCCCTAGCTCTCAGGTGGACACGTCAGCCCCAGAAGCAGTGGCCCCGGAAGGACACGTCTGGGGTCCAAACTGCCCTAGACTCCCTGCAGCTCAGACTGACCGGCAGTTTGGAGCCCACCCATCAGGAGGGGGCTGTGGGCGCCCCAGGCCAGGGAGAGTGGTCCTCTCTTGCCCTGGCCAGGGCTCTTCTCTGCTTGGAGCCTGACCCACTGCTGGGGGCGGGGGGTGCCCCAGACATCCCCCCCCCCCCCGCAGTCCCCTGGGGATGCCAGGTTTGGCCAACTCCGCTGCTCCTCATCCCCGGCCAGCCACACCCTTCTCCAGGAACCTTCCAAACACTTCCACGTAGCCACTCAGGGCAGCGTCCTGCTCTGGGCACGGCCACGCTGGTGACCATCTCCTGCCAACAGCTCGCCACGTATCCCGCCAGGAAGGCTGATGGGACTTAGGGATGGGTCTAGCCCTGGGGCCTCCATGACCCGAGTACCCCGTGTGGCCCGGCTACCCTGGGACCTGGCACTAGGGGACCCCAGTGCTGGTTACCTGGCCCGCTCCAGGGGCTGGTTGCCTCCTCCCGCAGTGTCTCAGGCCCTGGCACCTCCATCTCCTCGGGGGCTCCCGGGGATGTGGAGTGCACTGGCGCTGGTGCCAGAGGTGGATTCACGTCTGCAGAGAGGAAAACACCATCACATCCCTGAGCCTCTGGGTGCCCAGCGGTCTCCTTGTGGCCAGGAGGGAAACTGAGGCTGGGCGCACAAGCGGGGGCAGAGTCACTGCCCTCCTGGCTGCCTCTCCTAGGAGGGAGCAGGGAAGAAATCCCGATTTTCCTGGCAGCCTTTAATCACCCTCAAGACGCTTTGGGAGCAGCGGCAGTGCTGACAGCGGCTCCAGATGCAAGGCCACCAGGTGTGCGGGGCAGTGGCACTCGGCTGCTGTCTCCACGGCAGCAGGGCCCCTCCGCTGGCCCCGCACCCAATTCCAGCCCAAAGGGCATATTTGCCTCCCCAGCCGGCTGATAACCACTGCGGCCCCCCAATCGATGCGCTCCCATAAAGCCCCCCCATGACGTCACGCGCCGGTGGATCATTAATACTGCGATAAGGGCCGTGATTAACATCAAATAAATCAATCACACAGTATAAAAGTCCTATTATTTTTGGCTATAAATCAAAGTGGCTGGCATTTGAGCTCCAGCCACGTCGAGGCAGCCGCGCTGGACCCGCCTGAGCGCAGATACGCTCCGCCCTTACCACGCCCATCGCCACGTTATCACCGCGCTGGGCCGGGCCGGTGCCAGGTGCAGCCCAGGCCGTTTTCTCCTACGTCCTGCCCCCTCCCGCCCCGCGCAGCTCAGCTCCCAGATCAGATAAGGGCTGGCTCCCCAGGAAGCCACCGGTCAGAGTCCACCCGCGAGCGCACTGCCCTTTGGCAGCTCGCGCCAGGCCCCTCCACTAGCACAGCGCCTAATGGCAGCAACGATGGCCGGGTAATAGCGGGGCTCTGGGGGCCTAAGGAGCCCTGGCCCCCGCCCAGTGCACAGATGCGAAGACCAAGGCCCCAGAGGACAGCGGGTCAGCCTGGGCCAGCTGGCTGCAAGGCGCTGTGGGCTGATGGCCAGAGAGGGCAGCCTAATGGACGCTTGGCACCGCGTGTCCCTAGTGAGCTAGGCTCAGGGTGCCTGGCCCACACCACTCCCCCAGGCCTGGGCGGCAGGCAGCAGGCCGACCGCAGGACTCCGAGGGATGAGGTGGAGACTCCTGCCGGTGGCTCTCCGGTGGGGCCAGGACACTCAGAGCAGGAGGTGTGAGGGAGAGGGTTGCAGGGCAGGCCCCGAGCCAGGAGGGTCCAGTCTGTGCACTCTCCACCCACCCGCCCCTCGCTGGCCCCAAGTCCACCTGTGCCCTTATACAGTCTCTCCCGACAGACCCCGTCCCCCATCCCCCACCCACTACCCCCATTTCTTGGGCTCTGCCTTTGCCCACTGGGTTGTGGCACAGATGACCGCAGGTCCTGGGGTCTCTTCAGGTCGCCGCCTGCCTGTCCTTTGTTCACGTCCCCTGCCAGGAGCCCTCCCAGTGGCCTGGGGCCATGGCCATGCCCCCATCAGAGTTGTGACAACATCTTGGGTCCAAGAGGGATGTGATCGCTGCCCTGCGGGGTGGGGTGGGGTGATGACTCCGTGTGACTCTGTCCCCACGAAGAGCAGCTGGCGGTGACTGGAGCCCTGTCCCCACGGGACCTCTCGGAGTCTGTGGCTCTTCCCTCAGTGTGCAGATGGTGTCCCTGTCCCAGGCCTGTCCTGGGGAGAAATACTGCCACCAGGGAGGGGCCTGGGGCTGCGAGGTGGCCGGCCAGAGGGCACGGAGCTGAGCCTGGACTGGGCGGAGCCCCGGGCAGTGGTGGGAGCCTGTGGTCTGTGGGCACTCGAGACAAGTCAGCCCAGCCTCGCCCGGCACCCAGCATCAGGTAACAGTGCGCACCCCAGAAAGGAGAAGTGTGCCGGGCCACGACGGCAGGAGCAGTTGGGACCCCGGTCTCCAGAGGGTTCGCCATCCCTGACGGGGGGGCAGCTGCTGGCGACCAGTCCCACCACCCCTCTGGGCCCTGCTGCATCCTCCTGCTCTGCTCTGCCTCTCAGTCCCCCAGCTGTCTAAGTCGCATGTGCACGTGTCCCTGTCCTACCCTGGACAGGGTTGGGGCCCAGGGGACAAGGACCGTGACTCACCTGCGGTGGAAGGGGTCAGGGGCTCCGGCCTCCCTATGGCTGTGGGCTCTGGTGCTGGGGCCTCCTGCTCCTCAAGGCTGCTGTCTGGGGCCTGGGCCTCCTCTGCAGCATCCATGTCTCCAGGAGAACCTGCGGACACAGCCCAGGGGGAGCCATGAGGACCTCTGGGCATGGCCACGCAGGCCTCCCATCCCTGGGCAGTCAGGCCAGCACCCACCGGACCCCAAGTCCTGACCTGCAAGGGCCTCCCCTGAGTCTCTGCCCCTGCTCCCCTCACCGTGCTGACCCTTGGCATGGGAACCACTCCTGCCTGCCCAGCCCCAGCCAAAGCCGAAGCCCTGGAGATGGCCTGCCCTCCAGCTGGGCTCAGAGGGACCCAGTGGCACTTTTCCACTCCAGAGGACCACACTCCTGGGTCCGCAGGGCCCAATGCCACCCTGACCCCGGGGTAGGCACCTCCCTTGCCTGCTGCAGGACCCCACCTCCTTGTGGCCCAGAGGTCCCTGGGCAGGGATGGCAGCAGCACCCCAGGCCCATCGTGGAAGGAGTGACGAGGGCATGAGTGAATCTCAGCACCAGTCCTGAAAGGAAGGGGTGCACTGGGCAGGACACAGGCCCGAGTTCGGGGATGTGGACTGGGCCCCCGTAGGAGACCAGAGAAGTCCATGGCGTAAACAGAGAGCCATGGCTCGACGGTGTCCCCCGCTGGCCAGGGCTGGACTGATGTCCACCCTCTGGGTCTGAACTGCCCCCACTGCATCTGAGGGACCTGCGGGCCAGGCTGAGCTCATAAGGCTGTGGCCCAGCTTCCAGGCAGCCTCCTAGCCGTCCGCACAGGGCAGGGACACTGGCTCTGCCCGGATTGCACAGCCAGCCCAGGTAGGCAGACGGGCCGCGGTCAGCACCTCACTGTCCCTGGGCAGGTGCCATTTGCCTCCTGCTGGCTTGAGGATGCAGCGGGCACAGCCGCTGGACACTGCCGGGTCTCGGTGGTGGGGGAGACCAAGGACCAGAGTGGACCGAATAACACAGGGCGGTGAGGCTGGGGTGAGGAGGGAGCTGCTGCTGTGGAGCTCAGGGGACAGAGGGGTGTCCCAGGCTGGGAGCTCGGAGTGGCCGCCACATGTGCACAGGCTGTGGCAGAGCGGCCAGGGCGTGCGGGCAGACTGAGAGGAGGGTGCCTGCTTGTCCACGCTGACCTGAGTCCGTGGGAAAGAGGGCAGCCTCATCTAGGAGACTGGGAGCCACGGCCATTCCCGGAAAGAGTGGTCCTGGGGCCAGGGCTGCAGCCCCAGCCTCCCCAACCCCTCGCAGCCACTGCTGGCCGCACACGGAACACCAGACGCTCAGCTCTTCAGCCCCTCAGGCAGGCTCGGGTGGGCTGGGCACACCCATGGTGGCCCAGCCGTGCGCAGGGGAAGTGGGAGGCTCCCCCCGCCGAGTGGGGAACCCAGCCCTGGGGGACACTGCCTTTCAGAGGCTGGGAGAGTTGTGGTGTCCCAACCCTTGGGGATGGGGCTCTGTGCCTCCTGGGACTCCTAGGGGTGCCAGAGACGGACTCCTGCACAGCTGTGGGGCCCTGGGGACCCCAGGCCTCCATGGCCCAGGCAGGGGCCAGCCCAGTCCCCACCCAGGCGGGCCCGACGCCCAGGAGCTGTGCGTGGCGGGTCCCTGTTCAGCAGAACAAAGGCACGCACTCAGCACAATGCAGCCGATGAGCGTGGAGAGAGGCCGCCGGCCCTGTGCGGGGGTTTACTCTGAGGCAGCTAATTCTGTTCCAGCACAATTATAACAGCTCCGATAAACCCAAGACAATTGCCGGTGCGGCCCCACATGGCGGGTTCCTGCCAGGGCCCAGTGTCTTGGGATCCACTGCCTCAGCCCCGCTGAAGTTGGGGTTGTGCCTGCCTGCATGGCACATGGTGTCTGGGCCGCCTGGCCTGCAGGCTGAGTGTCTGCCCACCACGGCTGGACACTGCTGCTCCCCAGGTGCTGCGCTAGGAAACACCCAGCTGCCAGGGAGGTCACTCCACAGAGGCTCCGCGACTTGACATCTGGCCCACACCCACGGGCCTCCGCTGTGCAGCTGTGGGCAGGCCACCGCCTCTCGGTGCTCAGGGTGCCATGCAGTAAGTGTTCCACAAATGTCAGCCGTTGCCACCACAGCCCGGCAGGGCAGGGAGTCCGGGGAGGACTCGAACTGTGCACCGGGCTGGGCTCTGCAGTGCAAATTGTCCTCCTGTCTTCCCCACTCACACAGCCCTGAGGCTTTCCCAGTCTCCACCGCAGACAGGAAACTGAGGCACAGAGGATCGGCGCCAGATGACATCTCAGCATGTGGGGCAGTGGGGACGCGTGCAGCTGCACCCTCGAGCCAGTCACGACCTGAACCCACTCCCCAGGGAATGTCCCAGCCCCCAGAGGGTGGCCGGAGTCACATCCCCTGGGTAAACTGAGGCCCGCCAAGGTAGACTGACCCGCCCCTGCTCCTGGGGGGACTTGGGCCAACGTCAGAGGCACCCCTGATGCAGGCTGTCCCTAGGCCAGATGGGGCCCAGGCCACACACCTGCCAGGGCCTCCATGACTACCACGGCATCACCCACTGCCGGGGCACACTGGGCACAGCCCCACGGTGCCCGGAGCCCCTCGGTTATCGGTTATCGCACTGAGCAGACGCCGCGTGCCCACCCATCTCCTGCTCATTAAGCCGGACGCCGGGATGGAAATGAAAACATAATAGCTATTTGATTGGGGGTGAGATAGTTTGCATATTGGCTCGGCGCTGATAGCGGAATTTCATCAACTCCCTTTTTTCATGCTTTAAAACTGAATTACGGAGACAGCTCTGGGCGGCGGGCTCATCCCTCTCCTTGCTCCCTTGGTGTCCCCGCCCTCCCAGCCGGGACGGCGGCTGGGGCCGAGGGAGGAGGCCCGGGATGGGCTCCCTGCCACCCCCAGCTCTGCCGGGCACAGGGTCTCCTCTCCGTGGCCCCTCCAAGGTCCCCCACCGCTCACCCACACAGCAGGACGCGGGCAGCGCAGCTGGGCCTCACCCGTCCTCTCATACGTGTGCCCACTGCTCCCCCAGTGCCTCCTTCGCTCGCTCATTCACTCATCAAACCTTGCCAGTGACCAACGCCCACCCCTTGAGAAGCAACAGGAGGGCACCCTTGGGGCTCCCTGAGGAAGGGGCAGGGTGGGGAACCGTGGGCAGAGGATGCCCAAAGGGGCAGGAACAGGGCACCGCTCCTCCCCTGGCTGGTTTCCTCAGGGAAAATGGGGGGGCGCCGGCCGAGGGCTGGCATGGCGAGGGCAACTGGCTGAGGTCGTGGAGCGCAGCCTGGCCTGGGAGTCGCTGTCACCGTCTGGGTGCCCCCGCACTGGGCTGGGGAGGAGGGACAGGGCAGAGCAGAGGTGGGTGAGAGGGCAGGGGGCGGGCTCTGCCAGGAGGGGGCCCTGGCCTCCATGCACAGAGGGCGGATAAGGCCCGATGACAGCAGTGAAACAGCAGCAGGTTCAGACTTTCCCACCGGGGCAGCGGGCAGCTGGGGCCAGAGGGCCAGGGAGCCGGGCAGGGGCGGCCCACGTGGGAGTGAGGTGAGCAGGACGCAGCCTGGGTCTGGGCCTCTGGCCCCCACACAGACCCAGGCTGGAGGAAAGCTGGCCCTCGGCGGCCGAGGTCTGGGCACCCGGCGCTGCGGCCCCTGGCCATCAGCCCACAGCGGGCTCCTGGGCCCTTTCCCAGCAGGATGCACGGCTGGGGACCCTGGGGCACACGCCTCCAGCCATCCAAACGTGGCCAGAGCCCTCCCCACGTGCTTTCCACAGGGGCATCTGCCACTGCCGCCCACACCAGCCATGCTCACATGGCCAGCTCCCCGCTGCTGCCCAGCCAGGGCCCCTCGTCCCCCAGAACCTCCCCAGGGCCTGCAGGTCTCTGTGGCCCAGGCCTGTCCTGCACGGCACAACAGGCCTCACAGGCAGTGCCCACCGGCCAGGGAGTGGGAAGGCTGGCTACCCCGGCCAGGCACCTTAGAAGGGGTGCATTGGTGGCGGTGGGCTGACAGCTCCCAGAGGGCCAGGGGCAAGAGCGCACCCACAGAACAGGACAGTGGTGAGATAACTGTGCTGGATGGATTGTGCAGCACCCTGCTGCATGCAGCAAGCCACAGTGTCAGGACCTGCAGGGGCCTGAGCGTCACAGCAAGTGGGAGGTGCGCCTGGCACGGACGCCTCCCGACACTTGCATACCCCTGAGGCAGGGAGCTCGCTACTGCCCTCTGAGGCCTGCCCTCTCCACCTCTCTCCTCGTCCTCTCTGCCCTGTCAAGTTGGGCGCCCTCACTCCATGGGGTGCTGGGCCTGAGGTGTGCTGCGGGCCATCCCAGTACTTGGGCAGGAATTCAAGTGCTTGGAGCTGACCGAGCAGGGCCGCATGGGCAGGGAGACCTGCATCCTAGCCACCGTGACATGGCCTCCCACTCGCACTGGACCTGCTTGTTCCAGGGGCAGTTCACACATGACGCAGGCTCTCCTGTGCCACCGGGCTTCTCAGGGCCCGAGCCTTTGCTCAGAGTAGTGCGGCCCACGGGCCAGTGTCACGCGATGCAGCTCGTCCTGCCCCGTGCCCAGCCCGTTCCCTTCTGACCGGAAGGGGCAGGGGAACCTCAGGCTCCTTCCCTTGCAGCGTCTCTCCTCTCAGGATGCCTCTGGCCCTTTCCAATCTCCAAAGTCCAGCCTGGAACCGAGCAGGGGAACTCAGTGGGCTTCCCTGCCCCCGGCTGTGGCCGCGCTAGTCCTGACGGCCCTGCAGTCGGCTGAGTGGACTCCACTTGGGTATGACAATGACACTTATTGCTCATAACGCCTCCCTGACTTGGTACCCCCCACTGACGGGCAGGAAGTTGAGGTACAGACCACAGACCTGTGCCAGGCCTCTTGGTGAGCAGAGCGGGCAGCCTGCCCAGGCCAGCACCTGGCATGGCTGGCAGGGCCCTCCCAGCCCCACGGCTCAGGTCATGGCAGACCAGCCAGGCTTCCCTCAGTCCTCCCCACCTCATGGGTGCCTGTCACCTGGATGTCCCTCTGCCCTGGTCGGGGCACCCCCAGGAGCTGAGCTCCTCACAGGACCCCAGTCTGGCTCCATGGGACAGATGAGGACACTGAGGCAGAGGACAGCGGCACTGGCTCTGCCTGGCCCGCCTCGGCCTCAGGCCGGTTGCTCACAGGGCTGCTAGGGACCAGGCACCAAGGCCTCAGCCGAGGCCCTGTGGGCTCCAGGGAACCTGGAAATGGGCACAGACCGCTGAGCTTGCTGGGCTCAGAGGCCAGGCCCCCCAGCAGGCCCGCTCCCAACCGCCTGGGCTGATGTGGGTGGGCATGGGTACGCAAAGGGGCTGCTCTGTGAGGAACTGGTGTGGAGGAGCTGAGGCGTGACTGATGGGCTGGGCAGAGCATCCAGGCAGAGGGCGAGGCCCGGTGGGTCCCCGGCAGTGGGGACGTGCTGGGGGCGGGGAGCCTGCCCCAGAAGTGCCTCTGGGCCCAGCACAGGGTCTACGAGGTCAGGTCAGTGTGGGCGCCACTGCCACCAGGCAGCCCCCAGCTCCACCCCTCTCAGGCGGGGCCAGCGGTGCGCAGGCGAGGCAGAGAGAAAGGGGGGCAGCAGAGGAGGGAGC